TTCTTGTACAACGGACATTCCGCGACTACATGAACACGGTCTTCGCATTCGAAGCCGCAATCACATTTGAACTCGTCGTCTTCGTCATCTATCGTCCAATATCTTCGTCGACGTCCTCGAAGGCCTATGTCCCCGGTCCTGCATTTGACCTTAAGCTTTGTTCCTGCATCCATTGGTCCATGTAGGTAGTCCTTGAACCCTACTCCTTCCTTCAACATTCCGTACACTTCTAGACCTCCTTATCCTTGGATTCTTTCCTTGAGGGGGGGGGGGCGTACTCATGGCTTATACGCCTTAGCGCTTAGACCACGCGTCCTCGAGAGGACGGAGCAGTGTCCCCACAGGACCGATCCCCGATCATGGAAAACCGTTCCTGGGGGGGGGGGCACTGATCTGTTGCTTGTCCAATGTAGTCTTCTTCACCACCTGACTCCGCATTCCTTTCGAGATGGAATATCTTCCTCTGGGTAACTAGGCATACGTATTCGGCAGTGAACCCTGCTGTTGTCGCTACTTCTGATGCAATGGCCGCGGTTACTTGAGCCATCATGGCAATGGCTTTACTCGAGCCCCGAGTCCAACCCCACAGGTGACGACGACGAACCAAGCCACGCCGTCCTTAGACCGTCTGGACCAAACCTTCACCTCACACTAAATATTACAACACAGGTGACGACCTGAACCAACCTGAAACATATTTATCCAGCGCTGGTCAAGACATGATCTGAAGTGGCCCGAACAACTTACAAATGGCCTAAACCGTAACCTTCAACACAACAGGTTTGTGATCGGAACCATAACTTCGCATTTTTCCAGCACCAGTTGAGACCTAACTGGGCCTGAGCCGTGACATTTCGACCCCCCACGGACCTTGTCCTGCGGGTCAGGTCATGTTTCTGGGCACGCCCTGATTTTTGTCCTTCTCGCGGGTTTCCTTCCTCCGTTTTATCTTGCGTTTCGCGGCAACCATTCTTACGTCGTCTCCCAAAAGCGATCTAAAAGTCACACAATTGTTGCGTGATGCACCGAAGTCACGGTTGCACCGAAGTCACGGTTGCACTTCAATGATCGTTGACCTCCTCTGACATATCGAGGAAACCCGCCTCGGTTGTTGGTGTATCCAGGTAATGATATTTTTTTCACCGCGGCCGAACCGTGGGTGTGCACATTTCCAGCATCTGACGATCGCCTGCTTTGAGGCACCGCTGTGGCCATCCGCAGAGTTGTGAAACGAGGCGTCTTTCGGCGAGTGAGTACGTTGCGCTGCTGTGTACCAGTCAGCATCTGAGCATCAGCTCCGAGGAGGACATAGACCCCGCTCAAAGAAAAAATCAACCACGGCCGTGGTGAGGATGCCCTGCGAGGAAAAGAGCTGCGACCGTTCTCTCATCGCGGTTGCTCCGGGAATCAAACAGTGATTTCTTGCCTCCAAAAGGTTCTGGCCACGCAGCTACAACAAAACGACCTCTGCTTGAAGCACACCGATGTTGCCTCGTCGAACGACGGCTCATTCGCAAAGCTGCGGGTAACAAAAAGCGTCTGAGTCAAGATGTGTCTAGATACAGAACGTCGGTTCTGCGGATGTGCCGCGGAAAGTACAGCAGTTACGAAAAAGGATGTCGTGCTCCATGCCAAAGCAGTTGTGCTGGAACCTTTAAGCTCAAGCACTATCTCGGTGCGTCAGAGGGGGTCTACAGGCTGGGCCAGACGAAAAGCTCACTTTCGTTTGTTCGAGTCTCATTCTGTTGTTTCAACGAACTTGGGCTTGAAACTTTGTGGCTGCTCTCATGAGACAGTAGGGGAACCGCATATGCCAGAATTTTTCAAATCTGAGTTGGTTAAGGTACTAAAAGATCAGTTGGCGGTGTAGGGGGGGATACTTTCGGTTCTGAAATCAGCATTAAAAAGTTACACCGAACAAGCTGAAACTTGGGGTTAACTTACCTGGAAGGATTGCGAGAAAAAATATTGTTACAAGGCTCCAATCATATTCTACCAAGAGTTATGGCCTCATAGACGATCCGATACAACACACACGAGAGCCAAGGAAATGTGAGGGTATTGCAATTACACCACGGTTTTTACGAGTTGGAATATGAAATTTTGACGTGTGGTCGGCTGTAGTATCACGAAGACCTTGACCAGCCGCATCTTTTATTTTCTATTTTTTTGAAGTCCCCCTATACACAACAACAGGATTTTCTTTTGTCCTTGAATAGGGTTACCTCGTGAAAAAATACAAAAAAATAAAGGTGCGGCTGGTCAATGTCTCCCCTATATACTGATGCCGACCATATGTCGACATTTTAGGTTATATTTCGTAAAAACCGTGGTGTAAATCGCTTTCAACCATATCGCAAGTTTCATGGCTGGCCCAGATGGTACTGCCTCTGGACGGCGGCCCAAACCACACCATTCCCTCGTCAGGTGCAGGGGGTCAAGAACGAACAGAGACACGGATTGGCAGCTGCTGCTTTCAACGTCTCCTGTCACGTGGGATTTCTGAGGCCCTCGGAGGTCTGCACTTCTCCCCACCCCGGCTGTAATGCAGGCCCTCTTGAAGGAGGCCGACCCCAAAACAAAACGCCACGCAGAAACAGGGCTGTCGCCAAGGAAAGAGGAACGCCCAGGAGACTGCGGTGCCAGATCAGAGATGGAGTAAGCTGCAAGAGGGAGTCACCTCGGCTGGGATGCAAACAGCCGACGTTTCGAAGCCGGCGACAAATTCCCGGAAAAACTCGGCAGTAGTCCGTACGTGCTCGACAAAGACTTAACAAACTAATGACAGGGCAAAGAGGTTCCCGCCCTGATTTGAGTGGTCCAGCGAAACTTACCCAAGCCTCGACCAACAAGGCGATGGCACTATTGCCCAGGGTTTCACAAGTGTTGGCAAAGGCAGCAAGAAACGACAGAGGTAGGTAGCGGCGCACCTGCAGTACTCCATGGCCTTGTGCGCCAGAGCTCGTCCGTCAGCAGGCAGCCCGGCCGGTAGAATGCCTGGTCGTTTCGATTCGGCGTGTTGGCCAAGCAAGAAGTAAGCACAAACACAAACACAAAACATATCAAGCTTTCGTCTTACAGACTTTTTTTTCTATCCGACAAAAGGAGGCGTACAATCACATCGGCGGTACCGGCTTCGAAGACGCTGGTACGCTTGTGACAGGTGCCATGAGGAGCAGGCGATCGTCATCTTGCCGGTGGTGGCGTGGGGAATGTAGAATCCTCTTCAATCGATAGGTACGCGTGGAGGTTGGTATATACGTGGAGACTGAGTGAGGCAGCTACTTTGAAACAAGAGGTGTCGTTCAACCGGAAAAAGCAAGAGCGAAAATGGAGCAGCAAATAAAGCACGGCATACTCTTATCGTAGAAAGCGACATCTCACGGCAGGATTACGCTGTGGTACATGACAACGGACTGCACCAACGGGGTTTGAGTGAGTTTAAATGTAGTCTGTGGACGATCTTCGTTTATACATGTGTGCGTGCTGGGGGGAATACATGCATGGAGGGCGGATGCAACTCTCGTCTGGACGGTCGCGTGTGCCAGGAGGGGTGACGAGTGTGCTGCTATCCTACCCGACCGCGCCGGTCGGGGGACACCCGGACGAAGCGATGACAGTTTTGCCGATGACAAGCGCACACAGCAGCAGTCATACGCACTACAATACGCCTGCTGTACACAAACATGTAGTCACAGACCGAACCGCGTCCACGCAAAAGAGCGCTTACTAGAGGGGGTATGGTCACTTCTTCTCTCCCGCGTCACCCCCGTGCCTTCCCGCTGACCTAAAGATGCCCAAACCTCAAGCCCCGAAACGTGACTCAATTGCTTCAAGCTTTCGACAGGGGGCTAGCTCTATGCAACATAGAAAGAGCATCTAACTTTTGACCTTAGTACCCTCACGGGAAGGTTGCATGGCCCCTGACCATGTGTTGGGCAAGGGTACAAAACTGGAAGAAAAACACGCCCCACTCTTCGTGCAAAACCCTCTCCCACCGATGTGGGAGTCGACTCGAAACACGCGCCGTGTGCCCCCGTCCACCAATAGCTTTCCCGCATCCGCCGTCACCAGCTTGTTGGTCATCAGAACCTTTGGTGTCCATCGTATGCGGACATGCAAGCAGAGGTGCCCGAGGTGCCAGCAGAAAAACGTGTAAAAAACTAACGTGTACCAGGTGTGTTGTTACGTCGGTGGGTAAAGACGGTGCTCGAGTAGGCGGATGGGAGACAGGTACGGGCACCGCACTACAGCGTTGCTGTACACTGATGTCGGTTGATTGGCCCCAAGCCAAGTGCTGCTGGATAAGCACGGCTGTCCCGGTTGACAATGTGAAGAGATGGTAAAGTCGTTTTCTTGGTCGTCCTCGTAGACACAGGCAACGGAAGAGAGTGGGCACCAGGGTGCATCACAAACACCGAGGCACGCGAGCAACAGTCGCAAGACACATTCGGAACTCGTAACACATGACAGCACGGAACGCGTGACAACTTGCCAAAGATACCACTACCGGAGATACCCCGAAGATCCAAATGACCGATGGACGGCCAAGTACTTGTGCACTGACATAGCTCAATACCACACATGAGTACCTACTACCGCAGAAGCCTTGGTAAGGATGGCATAATCCACCTCACGAACAGTCGTGTCATCGCTGCATTCGTCGCACTTAATACCTCGATTTTTTTTTGAAGCAATCAACGGCGAGAGGCCGAATCACGGCCAAGGAGTGCCGTAAAAAGCCTATTTACAGCCTAGTTTTCATATTGCGTCCAGGGGAATGATACCAGGCGGGTGGTGGTCTCATCTATGCGAGGATCAGTGTATCCACAAAATGGAGTAGTTCGTGGGGTGTTCAGGGTCATTCGCCCGTGATATCCTTGGTGCTAATGCACCCAAGAAGTACCTGGCGGCGCCCACCAGCGAAGCCAGCAGGTAGAGCTACCAACAACTTAACTTTTTGGAATATGCAAATTGACCAATCACCGTGCAGTGTCCAAACTCACCACACCATCCTTGCACTCGGCACCAATGCAGAGGTTGCCCCGCTTCACCAAGCCCTGTGGTTTGAAGCCGTCAGCACGTCGAACCGCGCGCCGCGTGTGGGGGAGGTGAAGTGAGCTAGCTACCAGGCACTGGTGGCGAAAAACTCACGACGACCGTGGTGCGCAACGCTCTCGGATTGCACGGTGTGTCGCCCGCAGATAGCAGGAGATCTGGGGCAGCCCGAGTACGCATAAATCATGACATGGATAAAAATCATGACATGGATGAACACCCAGCCGTGCAAATCTCAACCGCAGCATGCATGCCAATACACCCCCGTGCCTGCTCCGCGCGCTGCATCGTCAGCCGTATGTATCGCTCCGTGATCCCACCGGTGTGCATGGCGCGTTATTACCTCCACGTAGTCGAGCTGGACGAGGCGGCCCTGGGGGCTGAACACGCCCTTGTTGGAGTCGTACGCGCTCTCGACGGACCTCGATGAACCCTCCGCCACGTGCTGGTTGTAGCACGGCAGGAGCAGCAGCAGCTGCAGCAGCAACCATACCCTCATCCTGAACGCAAGAAGCACAGACGGGCGGTTAGCTATAAGTCTACTCACGGCGTAGCGCCGTCCGTCCTGCTTGTTGCTGCTACAAACTCCGCTGCTGCTGCCGTAAACGCACCGGTGTACGGTGCGTGCGGGGCTTTGCAATAACGCCACCTTCCATTTCTCGGATGGAAAAATAACAAAAAAGAGCGAGTCTTTTTGTGGTTTTTTTTTTGCAACGTGCAACAACAGCCCACCACAATCCTGTGCGGAGCACACACACGGAGCGGCCCCGCCCCCGGATGGAACCCAGAGGAACGACGGAGAGAAAGGGAGGAGGGTATAGCTGGGCAGAAGATGACGACCACGCTCGTGTGCTGCTAGCACTCCACCTAGAGCTGTTAGCCTACGGATTGAATGTTCATCACCGGGGTGATTCGCCCGCCGTACGCATGGAGCAGAGTAACGCCGGGGCTTTCCCGCCCATGCGCTACGTCGACGGCGGTGGCGGGGGTCGGGTGATAACCATCCATGCTTTGGCGATGTTCGACGACCTCATCGTGAGCGGGACTGCGGTGGCCACAGGAGGAAGGGATGGAGGAAGAGATAGTCGTGGTGGCGACGCCGTTCATCGGAGAACAACCTTCAGCGTTTCCGAGTGGTCTCCACAGCTGCTGCTGTCATCAACCTCAAGGGATCAGCAGCAGCAGTCTGGGGGGGTTCCTAAGGGCCAGCCTCAGCAGCAGGTGCAGCTCAAGGAGGGACAGCAGGTGAAGACACTATGCTGCTACATAGCCTCGTATTCCACCAGAGAGCCAGCTTTCCCACCTCAGTTTGCTGAACCCCCAACAAACAGCCGAACGAGCTCTGCAGATCATCGGGGATCGTGTGTGATGGTTGTAACGTCCATTCAGCGGACCTCCAGCATGACACACCTTTGGTACGTTCATGCTCAAACTAGAGCGTTAGGTGAGCTCTGCATACACGAGGATAGCTTCACCCACGTGCGTGCGGAAGCAAGTGCCCATCACACGGCAAGGCTGGAGCGCTTCAGCAGTTGCCCCGCAGTCTAGACCGCTGTTCCTGTGTGGGTGTGCCTTTGCAAGCGATGAGTCGAGACTACAGCCGTACAGCACTACAGCAGTAGATTGATGTATTCTACANGCTCTTGGATACCTTTTTCTTGCTACGTGTGCGTGTTCTTTAGATCCTCAGATGGCTCTAGCTCTTTCGTGACCACGGGCTGAGAGTCTTTGCTAGATTTTGGCATTTAGCAACTGGCATACGGTTTAATGTGAAGTCAACAACAACAACAACAACAACAACATGCACACATAAGGTGCGTGCTTGCTTCATCTGCTCTACAGCAGTGGCAGTGGCTGTTATTGGTTTGACGCCTTCCGCGATTCGATCGCGTTGTCACAATGTAGGAGGAACTCTCTGTTTGGTGTCGCCTTCCTTGCATTGGGGCTGCTGGTGGTGGCACAGGGTATGCACGAGCAGGCTTACGGCCGTTTTCTCTCCTGGAGTACGTGTTTTCGGACGCTGCTGACCCGGCCGTCGACCCGCTCATCGCGCCATCCATACACGGCCGCATGTATCTGGAAGGCATGACGCGCCTTCCATAATCAGGCGTGTTTTTTTTTTTGGCATGACGCTCACTCTTAGAACAGCTCCTGCTTGCTGCACACAGCGATAAATACCGTATATGACACAATATAACACACCCCCTGGACCGATTTTCAAAGCTCGATTACTCCACGACGAAGAAGATGCATAAACGAAATGATACATTTTCGAAAAGCTCTCGACGAGACGGTTTTAACGCCGCCGTTCTCGGCGCTGTGACTGTTCCTGCAGTTGAGAAATCGAGCTTCGAAAATCGGTCAAGGGTGTGTGTTATCTTGTGTCATATACGGTAGCAGTAGCTCGGGTCCCAATTACACGACGTCAACAGGATGTACGTGCAAGTTGGCGCACTAAACCTGTGTTTTGGGGACGATTCATTGGCGCTCCTTTCACCACTTCGCAACCGTATGTTGAAGTTCAGAACCCACAGCTTCAAGAACGTTGGAGTTTTTGTCCAAGCAGAAGTCAAGCCCCACGGCTTACTTCAAGTACCTGGGCAGCTTCGAGAGAAGCCGATTTCAAACCATTCGACGAGGCAGCTGGCTCCTTTTCAAGTTTGATTTCCCCTTCTAGAATATACTCCGTAGGTCCCAAGAGCTAGGAAGGTGATCGCCTGCCGACATGCTGCCAATTGCTATGGCGCAAAGTTGCGGGGCATGGTGAGTTGCTTGCGAATGCCGTAGGCTTTAGCTGCCTGCTGTGAGGGTCTTCTGCTGATTTTCGATCGCAGCTTAGAAGTTCAGAGGGGTTTCGGAGCAGCATCATGGTGTGCATGCCTCACGCTAGCTTTCTGTCCTGCTTCTTTGTTTTGCATGGCGAACCAACGCGTCTGATAACGTGGGGACCAGGAAACGAGGGTTCCCTTTACATCACACAACCCGAAGCCATACCCGCGGTACACACGAAACCCCCCATGATCACCGCAGATGAGTGTGAAGCGCTGGTTGTCTCCAAATAATAGCGTTCATTCCCCTCAATCTGAAAGCGTCCAATATTTTTTGATTGGGATATTTGTTTTTGGCAAGACTGGACCTTGCGTGCTGCATCGGGGTTTCGGGTCGCGCCGCCGCCGCCGCCCCCGTCTCGTTTGTGCCTTCGCATGCCTGGGAGAGGGGGAGCGGACGACCCCGCTCATAAGATACCAGCTCACAACATGAGTGAGCTCCTCCCTTTCAGGCGCACCAGCAGTACAGGACGATGCAAGCCTCCTTTAGAGCATTTAAGTTTTCCCTCGCCATTCTTGGGGCGATCCATTCGTTCGAGAAGCATGGCTACACGTTCGTGATATGCATAGGTAAGATAGATGGTTGGATGCTTGACAAGCCGGTTCACCGCCCCATTTCCATGCGTACCTGACCCCAAGCAGAACGCGGAGGGATCTTCATCGGGGGGCACACAATCAGGCGACCAATGCCCGACTGCAACCAAGCATCCGCACCTGCCCGAGCGACAAGCTTCGCCGCCGGGTGACGGCGACAACGACGGCCGCGAGACTGGGAAGGGCACCCTGGAATCTTCGTCGCAGCAGCAGCAGCAGCAGCAGCAGCAGCAGCAGCAACGGCGGCGACAACGTCGACCCTCCCTCGTGGGGGGGGGGCAAGAGGCCTTCCGGTCGAGAGTCGTGTCCGGCCTGCTGCTGCACCTCTGCCCTCCGCCCGGGCACTTCGCGGATCTACTCGGCTGTGGGGACGAGCTGCTTCGGCACGTCCTTGGGATGCTCGGGGCGCGGGATCTGGCCATGGTTGGCCTGGTGAGAAAAGGGGGGTCGTTCAAGTCGTGCATGCCGTAGTTGGGGGGGGGGTGTACTCATAGTCGTGCATGCCGTAGTCGTTAGACCATTGACCTCGCATCCCTACAAAGCCGGGACGGGGCAAGCCGGGTTCTCACCGAACCATTGCCTTAGACCATCGACCACGAGGACGGAGCATTGTTCCCACAGGACCAATCGCAGATGATGGCCAATCGTCCCTTCCGATGGGGCGGGGCAGGATTAGAGGGAGACAGAAACGAAGGAGAAAGCGGTGGACTGCGGACGGACGGGTGGACACAAGGCTGTATAGGTCACCGCTGTCATTGTGGTGCCGTAGTTGGCCGCTACATGGTGGTTGACCCTTCGTTGGACTCTGCTATGTAGGACCGAACAATACTTGGTCCCGGGGACGATGGTGCCGAGAGCTCTTGCCCGCCTTCACGCGATGAAGACCCAAAACACAGCTCTCAGTATCTGCTGTGCTTCGACGGCTGTTACTCGCCTCCGCTCTAACCACTGAGGCATGCAAGACATGAGTCGCCCCCCCCCCCCCCCCCCCCCCCCCCCCC